GCGTGTCCCCGAGACAGTCACGGGACCAGAACAACGCGTGTCCCCGAGACAGTCACGGGACCAGAACAACGCGTGTCACCGAGACAGTCACGGAACCAGAAAACGCCCCACTGGCTCACGTGGGTCGGGGTGGGAGATCCTGCCCCACTGCTTTGGCTGACAAGCTAAGACACAAGAGTTAGCCTCGCGACGCCACCTGTCAAGGACACACGCACACCTCACGCACCCAAACCTCCTCTCACAGATGCCACACAGAAGAGAACCAAGTGTTCTCGGTTCTACAATTATCATCCTAAATAACAAATTTACTTAACACCATGCAAAGCTCTTGCAATGTTTTCACTAAAATCAATCTCTTTCAAGTTTTAATATGGGCTCAATTTGTATTGTATTTTATATATGAACAATTCCAAAGTGACTTTACTCTTGACTTCAAATTGCAAGAATCCGCTTACTCATTCTGGTACTCACTCGTGACAAGGCACCTCAATCATCTGACTAGATGAAGAAATAATCAATGAATTGACAAATGTCTCCCAACTTCCCCAAGGACCAGTATCACGGCTGCTACTATGCTGCTTACCAGCACTACGGCCTGAAGACAGACTCGAAACCTGCATCTCAGAATACACAGGTGTTCTACCAAGACACAACCACAATAGTTGAGTATTACAACAAAATTCATGTTTACAGAAAATAAAAGGCCATTCCATTCATTGTAACACTATTTACAATAGCCAAAAGATGGAAACAACCTAGGTGCCCATCAACTGAAGAATGGGTAACAAACTATGGTACATACACATAATGGAATACTATGCAACCCTAAAGAGTAACGTAGAATCTGTAAAACACTGCACAACGTGGAAGAACTTGGAAGACATGATGTTGAGTGAAAAAAGTCAATCACAGAAGGACAAACATTAGTGAATTATTGTAAGAAGTCAAGGAAAGGTTTATATAAGGAAGGAAATTTTCTTTGTTGGTTACCAGGGGTGCGAGGGGAGGGAAGGGAACAATGTTAGACAGGTAGAGACAAGTACTGATTTGGGTGACGAGAAGGGCAATGTACTAAATGTGAGTGATCAACACGGTGACACTGAGGAAGAGGAAGACATAGAGAGGTGTGTGGGAGGTACAGACAAGAAAGATGAACCCTTCTGCACATACAGTACTGCGTTGTTAATGAAGGCAAACATGGATGTACGAGTGGATAGATGGGTGGACAGGCTGAACTATTAGGTATATCTATGCAGAAGGGAGTGTGCCCATGACCATGTATAGGGTTGGCAGACAATTTTTCTACAAGTGTACTGGTATGTTCTGTAAGAATACCCATGTATATAGTAGAGCTGACAAGGGATAAGGCTGGCTATAATCACTTCTTGGCCATAGCCAGCTACCCAGAGAGATAGTTGGACCATAGCTTGGGACCACAGTCACAGGGAAAATCAAGCTCAATTGGCATAACATACTACACAAAACATTGTTCCACCTCCTACTTTGGCAAGTAGTGACTGGGATCTTAAAAGCTTGCAAGAGCCCATCTAGATTCAACGATGGATCTCTAACTCATCCAGAGCAAAGAACAATGAAGAAAACCAAAGATACATGGAAACAATTAGTCCAAGCAACTGGTACACCATGCGATCCTCAGTCTATACGACCAGGAGACCGGAAGAACTAGATGGTGCCCGGCTACCACTGTCAACCACTTGGAGGGGGATCTATGTAGGAGATCCTAGATAGAGTGTGAGAACAATGTGGAACAAAACTCAAAATCATTTAAAAAAAAAAAAAAAAAAAGGGACCAGGTTTGCTGGTCTGATAGAGCCTGATGGAACCACTGAGACTATGGCCCCTAGCTGCCCTTCAAGTCTGGAACTGAACCCACTCCTGTGACTTCTAGCCAAACAAAAGACAGGCATATGAGCTGAACATTTACCTGCGGTAGATACACTCCTTGGAGAGAATAATCATGGGAGAACAGAAGGGCTGTGTATGCACAGGGAGACAGCAGTGCACAGAGGGAAGGACACAGGGAAGAGTTAACTATGGTGAGGAAGTGGGAGGGGAGCTGTTGCATTGTGGGAAATTGTAGTCAACGTCATAAGACAAAGTGCAAGTGAGCTGCTGTATGGGAAGTGAATTTGCTCTGTAAACTTTCACCCAAATCACAAATAAAAAAAAAGGTCCATTCTAACATATGTATGCAAATATAAGTACTGATACATTCAAGCCTAAGCAGTTTTCCCTAGTTTTGCAGGAGAGTTATAATACAGAGTAATAATAACACAATAAAATCTGACAGCACATTTCCCCCTCAACAGTGAAGTCATGTTCCTACAGCCCTCTGGTTCTGTCCAGAGATCCAACAGACAAGGCAACAGCCAGCTCCCATGCAGGAATCTTCAGGCCAAACAACAAAAGAGACGAGTTTCTCACATTCTCAGAGCACGTGGGACAAAACGAAGACCTACTGTGACAGAGGGACAGAGGGACAGAGAGGGTGGAGAACTGGCTACACCCAGCAACATAACAAAGTACAACAACAAAGGACCAACTGTGACAGAGGGACAGAGAGGGTGAGGGGCTGTGTGTACACTCAGCAACATGTTGAAGTATCAAACACCGAAATAAATGTGGCTTTAAAACCCACAAGTGAAGACAGGCGCAATCACAAATGAGCGTCAGCGACCATAAGGAAGGGCACATGTAACATCAGAAGAAACTGTCCGTTCCACCGTCTCTCGCCACACTTCGATGAGATGGCAGCGGCTGGGAATCAAGGCCACAGAGCAGGCACACTTTACCAAAAGGTCTGATGCTGAAGGAAGAGGAAAGCTCAAAGACGAGGCAATGGAAGGTGTCCCTGAAATGGACAACATCTGGGCACCCATCCACTGAAAAACAGTGCCTGTGTGAGGATAACGACAAGGACAGAAAATGGGGAGATGGCGGATAAAAGAAAAATAGAACACAAAGAGAAAATCCAGTCCTCCCAGAGAGACTGCAGGGCCAAGCTTAGGGTACACAAGAAATTCGGATGAAAGAGCTGGGAAGCAGCAGATTTCTTGAGGAGACGGGAAGGCACTTGCTAAGTTCCCCTGGGAAGTAAAAAGGTATGGTCCTACACTGAAACATGGAGCACAGGTAAACTGCTGGGAACAGAGGCTTTGGGACTACCCACCTGGCAGGTCGCATTTTTCTAAAGAAAGGAGTGAGACACCCACAAAGTCTCATCCTGGAGAAAGACTTTAACTCTCAATTGTACTACCTTTCCTACGACAGGATTCAAAATGGATAAAGAATGAAAACAGAAGCTAAGAGTTCGTAACGGTCCATCGGAACACTCAGTGAGGTTCACATGATGGTCCATCAGGAACACTCACAGTGAGGTTCACGTGACGGTCCACCACGAACAGAGTGTGGTGGTTACGTTTCTGTGTCAACTTGGCCATGCCTGGTTGAGTGGCTAGGCAGTTGGATATAGTATTCACCATGATGAAATTGGTAATCAACTCCATGGTGGAATCTACTATGAGCAGCTGAGTAGCTGCCTCTGGGTATGTGGTCTGCTTCTCATATATAAGAAACAGCTTTGGGAATGGTCTCTAGCTTATGGCACACTTGAACCCTTCACGTAGCTCTGTCATTGTTCAGCACCCTGCCGTGCTCTGCTGACCTTGGGACTTACAATGGATTTGATTTAATGGTCTGCCGTGTGGTTTGGTAACATCAGGACTGTGCCTTTTTACTTGTCAACCTTGGGCTTGTCAGCCTCAGCAGCCAGCAGCTGTCTGAGTGAAGAAATGCCTCTAGCTCCAGTGGGCCAGGGGCAGGAAGCAGAGCTGAACCCCAAGGTTGAGGGGCTTTCAAGCAGCCCCTAGAGCCTAGCACTTTGAACTTGGACTTAAAGCTTCCAAACTGTAAGAATAAACTCCTATTTGTTCAAGCCATCCCATTTGTGGTATAGTCTTGTCAGAGTGGTACTCAGGAACCAGAACACACAGTGCACACCATGGTCCACCAGGAACAATCATCACATTGAGATTCACTCATGTGACAGCCCCCAGGAACAACCACAGTGAGGTTCACATGATGGTCCACCAGGAACAAAGTGGGGTTCACATGACGTTCACCAGGAACAAGGTGGGGTTCACATGATGGCCCCCAGGAACAATCACAGTGAGGTCACATGATGGTCCCCCAGGAACAGAGTGGGGTTCACATGACATTCACCAGGAACAATGTGGGGTTTACATGATGGCCCCCAGGAACAATCACAGCGAGATCATAGGATGGTTCACTATCCTGACATATGACCAGAACAAGAGAGCCAAAGCCCAGACATCCTCCCATCTGAGGAGCACCCCACCTGGACTTCCTCCACGGCACAGGTGTTCCTTTTTCGGTACAGTCCACGGTACAGTCAATATCCTTGCCAACGTCACATTCAAATTCATCAGTTACTCTGCTGTCTTCCTCATTCGTTGTTCAGCTCTCATATGCACATCAGGCTACAGAAAGTATCGTGACTTGAGTCAAGCACACCTTAGCCTTCAAAGAGACATGTTTGCTCTTAAAACACTTTAGAAAGGTCTTTTGCAGCAGATTTGCCCAATGTAATATATCATTTGATTTCTGGACTGCTGTTTCCAGGGGCGCTGACTGAGGACCCAAATAAATGAAATCCTTGACAATTTCAATTCTTCCTCAACTTATCATGATGCTGCTTATTGGCCCAGTTGTGGGGATTTTTGTTTCCCTGATGTTGAGGTGTAATCCACACTGCAGAGTGTAGTCTTTAATCTTCATTAGTAAGTGCTTCAAGTCATCCTCACTTTCAGTCAGGAAGGCTGTGTCTGTCATCTGCGTATCACAGGTTGTTAATGAATCTTCCTCCAGTCCTGATGCCACACTCTTCTCCATATAGCTTCTCGGATTATTTGCTCAGCAGAGAGACTGAACAAGTATGGGGAAAGGATACAACCCTGATGCACCCCCTTCCCAATTTTAAACCATGCAGTATCCCCTTGTTGTGTTTGAACAACAGCCTTCTGGTCTGTACAGGTTTTGCATGAGCACCAAAAAAACCCCAAAAACCACTGTAATTGCTCTGATCCACACAGTCAGATGCCTGTGAACAGTCAATAAAACACCACGCAAAACGGATGATCAAGTCACGGAACAGTCCATTATTTTCGAAAAATTATCATTACCAAAGGGGACATCTTCCCCCTGAAAAGTGTTATAGTAAGCACGGCTCTTTGTTTCCAGGAAGAGGTGCATGCTGCACAGCTTCAGAAAGGCACTAGGTGGAGCCCATACACCCCGAAATTCTCACCAGAGTTGACTTTTGCAAGTGTCTGAAAAAAATGGATCATATATTTGACTGCTAACCAGAAAGGTTGGTGGTTCACACCTACCAACTACTCCATGGAAGGAAGATGGGGCAACCTACTTCTGTAAAGATTTACCACCTCGGAAACCCAATGGGGGTCGCTATGACTTTAAACTGACTAGATGGCAGTGTGTTATAGGACAGACATTCAGACTCAGAGCAGGCAGCTGCACACATGAGGGGAGAGAGAGTGTTCATGCTCACTTGTTTGGGGAAAGAAGATAACGTCCCCAGGCCCCACTTTAACAGATTTGACCTTCACAGCAACTGCAAGGCACTGTGTACTTTTATCGTTTTCTACAATAATCAACTTAATTTTCTGTTGACAACCATGGCCTTCTCCATGAGCATTGACAGTTTATCTGTGATTTTGATCACATGGGGATGAGGGAAAAAAGGTCTTCAGTGTTTGGTTACTACTAATAGGAAAAAAAATACTGCAAGCAAACATCTTAGTTCCATGAGGTAATGACATCGATAGAACAACTTAATTCTTCAAAGAAACAAATAACTGAAGTATTATAATGTGTTGTTGTTGTTGTTAAGTGCCGTCGAGTCGTTTTTGACTCATAGCGACCCCATGCACATCAGAACGAAACACTGCCCGATCCCGCGCCAGCCCCACAATCCCTGCTATACTTGAGCCCATCATTGAAGCCACAATATCAATCCATCTCGATGAAGGCCTGCCTCTTTCGTCGACCCTCCACCCTACCAAGCATGACATCCTTCTCCAGGGAATGGACCCTTCTTACAACACGATCAAAATAGGTGAGACGAAGTCTGGCCATTCTTGCTTCCAAGGAGCATTCTGGCTGCACTTCCTCCAGGACAGATATGTTAGTTCTTTTTGCAGTCCACGGTACTTTCAGCATTCTCCGCCAGCACCACAACTCAAAAGCATCAACTCTTCTTC